CTAATAATCTGAGGTGGATTTGTAATCTCTAAAATATTATTTTGCTGTTGTTTATTCAAAATGCCCAAACTGGTTGTGCTTTAGACTTACAGCAAGATCTTGCTGGAGTTTGCTTGTGATAAGAGCAGCAAAGGAAAATAACTCCCCCCCCAAAAAAATTCCAGATTGAGTATTTGAACACAACTGAAAATATGTCTGTTCTTTACATCTCTTCTAGATTAAAACCAATCTTATCCAAGATATTTCAACTTAATATAAGTTGGGGGGGAAATTTTCTATTTCTCTTCATTTCCAATTCTCTATGCTTCCAAAACATTGGCCTTCCTGCCGCCGCCCCCTCCAAATAAGGTTCTTCTTATTTTTTTATTTTTACATGGTCCAAATGTTAGAATAAGAGCATTTAGCTAGATTTCAACAGTATTTGGCACCGTGGAGTGCATAAGGACTAAGAAAGTATCGGCAAGATATGTATCTTGCTGAAATCAATGGCATACCATTGGTTTTCTGGATCACACCATAAACAAACCAAGACAGCTGAGCAGAGAACACATCATAGAAAGGAGCCACCATATCACAATGAATTATGTAGAACACACAGCAGAGGCTCAAGACAGGCTTGCTGTAAAGTAAATTTCCAAGCACTTTAAAAAAATTGTAGTTACCTAAATCGACTTTTTAAAAAAGTATCTGTACCAATCCTGATAGCAGGTGGAAGGTTTTCAGGAGGCATAGGGACAAAACCCCAACTTGGAAATCTGACAAAAATTGTTGTCTGAAATTAGACCACAGCGAAGTATTCTGAAGCATGTATGAGTGGGCACAGAATGAATGGACATCAAACTAAACATCAGGAAGACTCACTGCCATGTAAGTTGAAGTCCCAGTCATATGGGAATGTCAAGTTTTGGGGTGCAGTGTTCTTTGTTTCATAGCAATTATGGGATAAAAGAACTTATTGTCTTGCTCCGCAATGAACAAATGCCGCAAGACTCTCAAAACATCACCTTAACAGACGTACACAACCATTAGTTCTACAAACACATTGGTTGACTTGCTTATACGAAAAGTGAAGGAAACTAGAGTCACACAAAGTCAAGCAGGAGAACCCCATGCAAGATCAGCAAAATGTAAAATACATGCAGTGCCACCTCCAGGCACAGTGTATGGTTACATAATGCTAAATGTGAGCGTGTACACTAATCAAATTGCTGGGAACCTTATAAGTTTTTGCCTGCCAGATGCAACTGCATGCTATGCCTTTGAGGTTTTTAAAAAATCCACTGTAACACATCTTAGTTACTAGGTATTGTGATTTACGGACAGGATCTGAGAGACAACACCTTTGGTGCAAGTACTGATAGAGCACAATCAGTTCCGAGTTCATGCAACCAACGAATGTTCACTGTTGGAGACATACTGAGCTCAAGGTATTAGACTGGACAAAGTCTACTTATTTACACTATTCACATATCTTTATCCACATTATATACACAAGTACTGACACTCCTAAATCAAGGCCATATCTGCACTACAGATTTCAACCTGTCTGACAGTCGTCATTCGCTCTTCCTAGGTAAGCCTGGGAACTGTACTTCTGAGGTGACGACTAGATATAGCTCTAACAGAGAATTCGCCATAATTTCACCCAACTATACTTTCCAGGACTCTTTGGAAGAAGATATCACTTTTAAACTAGCACGACAAAATCACTATTAGTTTCTAATGGAAATATGTACCATGTGTAGAAGCTTCCCACTCAACACTTCCCAATGAGGGATTATTTTAGATGCTTGATCCCACCTCCACAACTGTTGTTGCAGCTATGGGGGCGAAAATCCTTGCAAGATGCATATTTTGTTATTTCCCTGCTTGATAACAAATCTGGGGCATCATGGATACATCTGTGCTACACTTCCCTATGCCCCACTGTATCGTATAGTAATAGCCTAGTCAGCCTCTAAATTCTATAGGTCTGCTGAATTAATTTGTAAGCAAAAAAAAAGTGTGTGGGGGGGGGGGGGCAATCAAAAGGGAGCTTATGATCAGCAACTGCCAAACTAACTTAGATCAGTTATCAATATCCCGAGAGTCTCATGCCATGTAGCTGTGCAAGCTAAATCTACACGAAGTTTTAAGAATCATTTTGCCCCTCGCTCCTTTCAAAATGGTTGCCTGCTCATTTCATCAGATGTTCTTTCGTCCTTGTATTCTCAGGTTCGTGCCCTTATGCCCACCTGTCACATTTCCCCCTACTCCCACCTTTTAAAGATGGAAATGTAAGCCCTTTTGTGCTCATAGCCATCCTTACGATGGCACTTCTGTGCTGTTTTCACATCAGAGCCGGGCTAATAATGGAACATTGGATCAGAATGCAGCTGTGAAGGCAGCCCAAGTAGCATTGCTATGCAAAGCCTAGAACAAGCCTGCATTGTCTGTGACAGAAAACAGCAGAAAAGTTTGCTTTCCCTTCCCATTTCACACTATACAGAGGCCGGGCAGCTGGCAAAATTCTGAACTGGATGTAGGAAAAAGTACACAACAGAACAACAGATGTATGAGAAGGAATTCAGAATTTTAATGATGACTTCATCCCTGTTGTAGGGGAGGGAAGGGGGTGGGGAAATAAAAAATAGAAGGATGACTGTAGAGAACTTGAGCTTCTCCACAGTTCACAAAATTGAGCTTATGGACGATATACTCTGAAAGCATACGGAATAGTCCTGAATGGCTAAAAATACCAGGGCAGGCATTGAATTTAGCAGGGATTTAGCAGGTCTTGCTTAGGAGGCCTTGCGTTTATGAAAACATTGCAACCTTAATAAAACAATAATACTAACTATGGAGTAAGCCCTACTTTACAAAGTGCTTACTTCTGAGTAAATGCATAGATTTGTTCTGTAAAAGATTACATCTAGCAGCGAGAGTAAAGCTATGTCTTAGGAACAGGTGGCATACAAAACTGGTATGTCCCTGAATAAAGTCAATGAGATTCTACAACAATTATGAAGAAACAGGTGCCCCAGCAGAACAAAGGGTGTGTGTGTGTGAAATATAGCAGCAGCAGATGGCTACACAAGGATGTCTGGCATGGAAGATAAGCACTGTGCTTAGGTTTTATTCATAAACTACGGATCATCTTTTAACTTACTGGGCTGTATTCAATTACAGCATCCCATCAGATCAAGGATTTCCACTTGTACAATGGGTGTTCTCCCCTCCCTGCCATGCCCTCCCCAAATCTGCTCAAGATCACTGGGGGGACCCCAAGAACAGATTTATGGGATGTACAGTGGAAGGAGAGTGGAGAACATTCTGTTGCACAAAGAGAAAACTTTGTGTGGGAAGAACAAGATGCAGAGCACAATGTTGGATTCCACCCAATGGGGGGGGGGCATTTTTGGATTTGCACATAAGAAAATAAATATGTATTTTATCAAAGTACATCCAGCTTTTTTCCCCCTTTAATTTTTTTTTGGGGGGCCCAAGAGAGTGGGGCCCTAAGCTATAGCTTTTTTAGTTTATCTGTAAATCTGGCACTGCCCACAAAGCACATGCCTACTTCCTTTCCAATTGTAATTCCACTCTTTTTGTTACTGCAGGGTAATAGGAAAGGGCGTCAAATTCAAAAGGTGCCAAATTACACCAGTGGCTGGAAAGGAAGAATCGTGAGCGCCTGAGTAAGAGTGTGAACCTGATTATACCTTTTCACTTTGGTCCTGTGGGTATTGATTGCTTGTCCCACGCCTCCTGATGTCATATGCCAAACTCCAAACTACTCCACAACTCAAATGGGGAGACGCCTGGCAGGCCTAATCAGCTCTGTGGGTCAGAGGACCCCCACCACTGGCGAACACAGATTTGCATCTGGATATGCTCAGAGTTCCTGTTATAGTAACTGCCCAATGGCTTGCAGATTTGTTAAGTCCCCAAACTGTGCTTAGGAGTGTTTATTTTATTTTAAGCTGATTATCTCTTAGAACACACTTTTTCCAGAAAAGAAACTGGAGATGTTAGAAAGACATCCCCATAGAGCAATAAAACTCTCCTATGTGAAACTGGAAAACTGAACAAATCAGTTAGGACTTATTTCATATTGTTGAGTGTTAGCAAGTGTATAAGCCATGAGCACTGTGTGTTAAAATGACATTGAGATTAAGCAGCTAGAAAACAGATGCAACAAAAATTGGCTGTTCATGAATGGCTAATCTAATGAAAATTCAAGTTAAATATGAACTGATATAAAAGAAGAACCTGAAGCGTGAATGGCACTTGCGAACCATCTCATGACTGCAAGTCATATAACAAATGTCATTTTTTAAAATATAAAAATAGTAGGAATGTGATCAATAGCACCCAGAAAGCAAGGACATCCAGTGAGAACACTGAGATGGCACAGGAGTTCAACAGAGGCAACGAGGTTTTGAACTTCAATTAAAGAGAAAGAACATCACAAAATTGGCATGCTGAACTTTTTTTGTTGGTCTCCTTTTAAAAGAGCATTATCATTTGAACAGCTCTCTCCTTTTAAATTTTGAGCCCATAAGTTTAGATGAGAATGAAGCACAAATCATAAAGCAGTACAGCAAAGAAAGTTTCTGAGGACAAGCCTGAGTAGAAACATGTTACACATAAAATGGCTGTCTGGTTATGGTGAAATGGTTGGGTGTAATGCTGTGATTGTTTCCCCCGAAAGGCTTTCTTAAGTCATGAAAAGCAACCATCCATTGCATCAGGTTAGGCAGAGAACCAAAAGAGCAAAGAAAGAGGCCATTTAATCTGTTCCTTGCCAACTAATTGTCTATTCAGGATTTGCAAATCGGGGACAAGGAAAGGGCTCAACAACCCCTTCTCCCGCTCTGCTTGCCCCTTCCTCTGTTTGAAGCCACCTATATCTACTTTACATGGCAAAAGAGAGCTTTAAGGAGAACAAGGAAGGAGAAATGAGGATGTTAGAGGGTAGTACTAATGGCTTGAACCTAATGGAACTGGCTACTCAAATCTTAGAACTCAGTGGGTGCCACTTGGTGCAAGACAGAAATTTTAAAGTGCGAACAGGCTGTATCAGCCCAGAAGAAAAAGGGAATCTGGCATATAAAAATAGCAAAACAAACAAACAAACCTAGCACAAGCATATTACCAATTACCTTATAGATCTGCCACATTATAAAAAGAGACTTCCAAATCAGTATATAATCTTTAGCAATGTCTGGGAGAGCTTGCTTTAAATGAGGTGGCTCCTCAAAGTAAAATTGGTAGTGCAGAGTGCAGTGTGATACCTGCAGACTCTGAAGAAAAAAGGAGAAAGACACCAGAAACATGGAGAGGGAGGATAATGGGTAGGTCACTACAGAACATAGAAAAATGAGACAATTCTTATTTGGTGCAAAGCAGCAGACACAAGAGAACAAAATCTGTCAGGTGCTGTTGAGTATTTATGGAGAAATTGCTTAAAATATATTTTGAGAGATGGTCTGTTATTTTTCACAATTTGTGTGGGCAGTTTCACTTATGTTGGCTGATACCTGAGAACACACGTGAAGGAAAATGAGAGGACAAGGTCTTTATCATGCAGGGAGCAGACTGCTAAACAGTGACAAGTGAGAAGGCCAGGAAAAGGCAAGTGAGGGATGCTCCAGACAATGGCAAGCTGGTTGAAGGATGCACAGAATATGGAAATATGACTCTGGTTTTCAAAACAGGAAGAAGAATTGAACGGATGCCTTGGAAATCTTTTTAATGCTGGGATGTGTCCAAGTCTCAATTTCCCCACACATACCAACAGGATAAATCGTTCTTTTTGCAACCTTGATGGTCAGTTTCTTGGGGGTAGAAAGATGAAATGTGTTTCCTATTAGAAACCTGATGTTACACAGAAAGAGGAAAAAATGATATTTCACTGGAAGTAAAGCAAGGGAAGAGTACGCAAGAATGATCAAATTAGCTGAAGTTGTGTTATAATTTATGGGGATAGTTTGCTTGACAGCACCAAACAAAACAAATGTCTCCTCTCCCACCTACACCTCAACCCACCCAGGCCAAAGTGAGCTCATGGAACTCCACTTATCTGCAACACCTATCATCATTCAAAAAATAAAAACATTTATTCAGTGATTATGAGAAATCTAGTCATAGCACAGACTTAGGCATTCCAGTAAAAAGAATATTGGAATACTCAGGAATGACATAAAGGGCTATCTGCTCCTCACATTTGCTTATGACAGCTGATCAAACAAAACACTTGGCAGTATGAGGAACGAAAAGAGATCTGATAAACTCAGAGGGGAAATATTTGTTCTGTATAAATACCAAGGCAAGACAAGGCAAGACAAACGAAGAAAAAAGAGGGACAAAGAACACCGTGGTTCTTCTCCAACAGTTCTCAACATTTGGGACCTCAGGATCCATTGGGTCCATCGTCATTCACGAAAAGAGCTGCACTTCAGAATGTTAGCTTCAGAATGCATATTTGGCCGGATTTATACAACCGTTTCTAATTTACTTGTGTTGATTTTTGGCTATCACAGCATGTTGGGAGCTACATGGAACTCGGTCTTCTGAAAAGATTTAACACAGACTGAATTCCCTGTTTTAAAATGGCTGCCATGATGGAGGAGTTCAGCAACCAAAGGCCTGTTAAAACCTCCCCAAAGAGCAGGTCCCACTTGAATGTTGCTGTGGCGTGACGCAACCAGAGAGCAATTGGATAAATCCACCTTTTGGGTAACTCATGTTTGAGGTAAGATACATTAGCTAGGAAGTTCTGCCATCTATATAGTCTGTAAACTTGTAAGTTATTTGGTGGAAAGTAAAGCTCAAGCAATGCCTTAATTAATTTGATTTGGCTACAATCTTTCAAGGGAAGCATTCAAAAAGTTCTTTGAAGACTACAGCATCAGGGTCCTAATCACTGTAGCCTTATTATCTATTCAATGGAGGACATCATTTTCTTCTGGAGAGTGCTGATAAATGTGTGCAATTCTCAGAACATTTCCTCAGGAATTGTCCCTGGCAAAGTCAAGGAGACCATGGGTGGGATTCATTGTCACGCTGTTACAAATGTTCTGCCTACACAAGCATATCAGCTTGCCAGATGGAACAATCCCCCCCTCCCACTGTGTTTTTCTGGGGGGCCCTCCTGCCTCCCAAGAACCAAATTTTGGGGGGTGCAGGAGGAGGAGATGGGGGTAAAGCCCTGCTGTAAAGCAGAAGCCCTCCTGCAGGGCTTCCACTGATAGGGTTTATTAGATGAATCCCACCCATTCAGAGTAAGTGGCTTGTGGACTACAGTCAGTGAGTACCTGAGAGGGTATATAAAGAAGGACCAACCTTTTCATAAGGTCACCAGACCTATTACCTCATTTTCTTTTGTACTGAAAAAGACACAATTTAACAGATGGCCTCACAACAGCAGTCTGCAGTCATGGGAGTCAGGATTTGCTTAAAAATACATATTGTACAGGCTTTACTGTTATCCTCACAACACCCCTGTGAGGTAGGTTAGATTTATGAATGCCATTTCATAAATTGTAAAGGGAGGACAGGAGCGTTTTCCTCAACCCCCCCCCCTTTCCATCCAATTAAGTGGCAATATTCAGGAAGATCTCACTCCTTCCAGAGTCGTGTTCAAATTCACCAGTCTCGTTTGTTTGACAGAGGCATATTGTGTCTTAGCATTGCTGTACAAACAGAGCATCATGCAAGGGGAGTAGCATGAGATAGTCAATCACAATTGAATAGCAAAACTCTCTTTGTACCAGAAAACAACCCCTGCAGCTTATCACGAGTGCAGCAACTGCTTGGCTGCTGACAGCCCATTTTTGAAAAGGAGTATAAAGCGTGGCTTCTCAAACCTGGAATGTTCGATGTTTAAGGCAAAGCACAACAGGAAATGAAATAATGATCAAACATGACAGAAATAGTCCCTACAGGCAATAATAAATATATAAGGAAGCTGACAGCAGAACGTCTCTCTTTTCCCTACTCCTGAGGCTTTACAGAACTCTCTCGAACATGGCTGAGACAAGGAGCCCACCACTTACAACCAGCAACAGCAGTCTATATCTCCATATCCACGGGTCTGATATTACCGGTTTTGTGTTCTTTTACCCACAGTTCCCTGTCTTTGGCTGGATCCACTTTCTGAAGCAACTGATCCACGGGTTCTACTGTCTGAAAGACACAGAAACAACAGCAGTGTTACCATAAGAGCACAAAGGAATGCCTCATGAGACCCCCTAGCAAAACTGAACCACTTCCCCACCTCCTTCTCCCGGTTCTTCAGATTTGTTTCCTCACTGTGCTCAGACAACATTTCCAACTAGGCCGTGAGCTATTCCAAGGGTACCATTTTGAAAGAAGAGCAGACCACAGATATTACATCAAGGAGGCCAATGCATTTTAATAGATTGTTTGTTTTTTCAAGTCGTGTGGTACTTATGCCATTGTCTACACTGGAGGGCAAGAGTTTGGCGGGCTCAGTGCAACCCTAAGGCCTTGGGTTTACAAGGGCCTGTTGAAATACTGTTTCAGAAAGGAGAAAAGGCCAAGCAGACTCACGCTTTGGTTGAACATATCTGTCTCGTGCCGCAACTGTGTATATTGACAAAGGTGCTGCCGAATCATCTCCACTCTCTCCACCTCTAGCCTCTCAAGCTCCTGAAAGGAAACAATAAAAAATGTTCATTAAAAGATGGGGGATAAGGCAGTATACTTGAACATCAAATGAAAGGTGAGATTGCTTTATATGAACCACCTAGAATTTCTTAGCGACTAAGAACTTCACTATTGTTCTCTAAAGAATCCATCTGAAACGAGAGCATGGATCAAACAAGAGCTGAAGCAGATGAGGGCTTTACCTGCTACCACAGCTCCTACTATGAATACCCAATCGATAGTCTCTGTAATGAGCCCTCTCAGAATGCAGGGGCCACTGTAATGATGCACAGACCAGAAAAACTGTTGCGTACACAATGTATGCTGAATTTGCCAAGATAGCTTTTTAAGGTTTAATGTTTTACTATGTTTTTATATATGCTGGAAGCCGCCCAGAGCTGAACCTGAGAATGTTGTGGCAAAATCAGGCATGGGCTGAACTTTTGATAACGTTTACCAGATGGGCACTTATCACTGAAGTTTTGCAAACATAACATGGAGAGACCCAACATGACATACCAGAGAGGTGGTCACCATTTCTTCAAACCACTTTGACTGGGCTTGATTATACAGATCCACACAGCGCATGAGGTCATCTCCTGCAACACACAAAGCAAAGAACAGTGAGTAACTTTTCTTTGCGAGCCCACTCATCGCCCTAAAGGGTACTTAGAAGTGAAAGTGCAGTTATCTACACGTTTCTACATGCAAGGTGTTAAGAACGAAGAGAATGTAGTGTAGCTAAATCAAACCCATTAGGAGAGAAGTGAGTGGTGATCTCTCCATCCTTATTAATAGGAGTGAAACACAGTTGTCAAACACATACTGCGGGCTCATCCAGCTGGACAGCATACCTCACAATGGAGCATGTTTGTAAGACAAACAGTGAGAAAGAAACCAGTCCAGTGATTTCCTACCTCCTAGGTGTGTCCTCCTCTCCCTTCAAGGAAATCTCCCCAAGTCTCCCTGGCCACAGAGGCCAAGAGTCATGAAAATATTCAGAAACTGTGCCATGGAACAAAGGGAAAAATATTGTTTCCCACTTTTTGAAATTTCAATTGGACTGAGAAACAAAAGTACAGTTCAGTGAGGAAACAAAATGGAGTTTTTGCCCCAAGCCTTGGATATTTATTTGCTATGTCAAATGGGCAACCCATGCTTGTTTTATGGCTTCCCTTTGTTAAACTCTCTTTACTGGCCAGGAGTAGCTGTCAGGGAGCACCATATACCTGATTTCCTCGCAGCAGAATTGCTGCCATGTACCAGAATGGTGCAGAGGTGCAGCAGGGCAGCAGTGATGTCATATGATCAGAGCCAATCAAGCGCCCCTGCCTAGCCCTCACTGCTACCCTCATGTTGCAGCATGCTGGCAAGCAGCAGGAAAAGCTGCTCCTCTTATCAGTTTCAGTATGGATCATTCTAATGCTGCTACTACCTGAGACCCCAAATATTGTTTTCAAATAGAACAAATGCAGAAGAAGACCCAGGCTAATGCTGTTTTTAAATCATATGATTTTTAAAGCAAGGTTTTTGAGTCAAGTAGTAGTGAATATCTCTCCTGCCATCTAGTGTACAAATCAGAGAGTATGTATTTTATAAAATGCAAATAACTGTATTTTTTGCTCTATCAGACTCACTTGTTCCCTCCTAAAAAGTAAGGGGAAATGTGTGTGCGTCTTGTGTGCGGAGTGAATGCAGGCTGCGCAGCTATCCCAGAAGCCAGAACAGCAAGAGGGATCGCTGCTTTCACTGCGCAGCAATCCCTCTGAGCTTCTGAGATTCAGAATATTTTTTTTCTTGTTTTCCTCCTCCAAAAACTAGCTGCGTCTTATGGTCTGGTGCGTTTTATAGAGCGAAAAATATGGTACATGGAATCACGAAGTGTTGAATGTAGAGAGCACCTCCAGAGCTACTTTCTGCTAGTCAAATATTTAACATAAATACAAGGAAACAGAGAGGAAATGGACAAATATAATCACAGAAAGTCACATCACCGAACTAACTAGCTTCAAGGAGTGTTGACAATTTGATATACTAAACTCCTATCTGACTCTTCCAGCATTACAAAGACCTGCATAATTGGTCACTTTTCCTTAATTGCTCTACATACTTTTCCTCCTCTCGTCTTTCAGATGTATGTAACAGTGGTCCTTTGTGGGGGGAAAGAAGCTAAATCCTGGAACTTATCAATAGCACCTAAACCTTGGGATGTCTGTAGCAAATATTTGCAATCTAACCAGAAGGAAGGAACTGTTATGAATTCAGTCCTGATCAACACCAAATGTTAAGATTCAGGGAGTTAGTCAGCCTTCCTCAACCTGGTGTCCATCAGATGCTGTTGGAACACAACTGTTATCATCCTTGGCTATTAGCCATGCTGGCCAGGACTGATGGAAGTTGTAGTCCAACAACATCTGGAGGGCATCACATTGGGGAAGTGGAGTGAGCCAGTCAGCATTTGTGCTCTCTTTATCCTCTCACAAAACAGTGCTTCCCGAACTTAAGTTTTCTCCTTAGCTAAACAGCAGGGACTCTGTTCCATCTAACTTTCTTTTTTACACCACTGTTCCCTGTCTTCTTAACACACGTTATCCTCACTCACCAGCTTGGGTGGACTTCCGCCTAGCCTTCTTAATTTCCTCTTCTGTCTTGTTGCTGAGTTTTATCTCCAACTGCTGTGTTTTCATCTCTAAATCCTTTTGCCTCTCCGATAATGCTTTTCGGGCCTTGAAACAAAGAGAAATGACCATGAAATCCTCCTCAGCAGAAAAACAATACCCATTTGCCTCCTCTTTTTCATATCCCTCCTCCCCTTTCAGAATTAATCACTGCAATATGGAACATATGCCCTTGTTGGAGGCCATGAACCTGGAACATGAACCACGAGACACAGAGATTCTTCCTCTTCTGTGTGATAGTTTAGCACCACAGAGAAGATTAAAGGTGCTCTTCAGAGTACTTCTTCAGATGTAGCAACTATTAAATCATTAGGAATGCTGGAGCAAACAACCTTTAATAATATCAACACTATGTTTGTCTGAGAAGTCAGCTACTTTGGCTTAATATAGGGCACGCTAAAAAGTTGAAGCATGAACTACATGCACTTGTTTCTTCAAACCGAAATAGATTTGGCAGGGGAAGAAACATAAGCTATCGTCGTCTGTTTCTGAAGGTGGCATTGCCAAGTTATCCCTAACCTTCAGGCAGCCCACT